TTGGGGCGAGATACAATCTGTCAAGCCCCAGCCGACCAGGGGAGAGGTGCCTGAGGCTGAATGTATCCCAGGTGGCTGGGCTGTGCAGAAAAACAAAGCTGAGGAGGGGATAAGGAATGTGGGAGGTTGCAATATCAAATTTGGTGGTCTGGGTGCCTGGGTGGCTCAGTCAGTTAAGCGTCTGCCTTTGGCTCAGGTCATGATCCCAGGGTCCTGGGATTGACTCCCTGCTCAGCGGGGAGTCTGCTTCTCCCTCTGCCCTTCCCCCCTGCTTGTGATCTCTCTCTCTCAGGCGCAAGCTCTCTCTCAAATAAATAAAATCTTCTTTTTTTTAAAGATTTTATTTATTTATCTGACAGAGAGAGACACAGCGAGAGAGGAAACCCAAGCAGGGGGAGTGGGAGAAGGAGAAGCAGGCTTCCCGCCCAGCAGGGAGCCCAATGCAGGGCTCGATCCCAGGACCCTGGGACCATGACCTGAGCCGAAGGCAGACGCTTAACGACTGAGCCACCCAGGTGCCCCTCAAATAAACAAAAGCTTTAAAAAAATAAAATTAAATTAAGTGGTCAAGGAAAGTGTCACTGAGAAGTGATATTTTAGCAAAGACCTGAAGGAAATGAGGGAGAGAGCCATGGAAAGATCTAGCGAAAGAACATTCAGCAGAAGATTGGGGGTGGGGGTGGGGCGGAGGTGGCAACACTCAAGGGGACTGGGGGCAAAGGCAAGAGTCCTAATGGCACAGGTAGAGATCAAGGCAGGGACCCCAACATGCAAGGCCCTGGGAACCCCCACAGGGGCTCGGATCTTAGTCCAGTAAAAGGGAAAACTGCAGAGGGTTTTAGGCAAGAAAGCGTATGGGTCTTCTTGGTCTCATGCCTGATCCCTGGTTAGAAAGTTCTGCTTCCTACGTAATTGGTGTAACCACTTTGGAAAACAGTTGGGCATTATCTGATAACTGAGATTGCCTATAGGAACACTTCGACTCTTAGGTTTGGTTTGGCTTTTTATTTTTTTTTATTAACATTCTTAGTTTATTGATTCTCTCATGAAAAATCTGCACAACCACCACAGATAAAGCCACTGCAGCATCTTTACTCCTTCTGTTGTCCAATCTCCAGCTCACTTTTTGCCAGCACCAACGTTGGCTTTTGCAGTCCCCCTGACTTTCTTCATTCTGTTCTTGCGTTCCTTTCGCTGTTTTCTTGATGTCTTTTTCTTCTCATACAGGCCATGTCTTGCAAGTCTGTGTTTGGGTTCATTTTTCTTTGCATAATCCAAGGAATCATAAATCATGCCAAAGCCGGTTGTCTTGCCACCACCAAAATGGGTTCTGAATCCAAACACAAATATGACATCTGGTGTGGTCTTGTACATTTTGGCTAGTTTTTCCCGAATTTCTGTCTTAGGTACCGTTGCCTTTCCAGGGTGAAGAACATCAATGACCATCTGTTTCCGCTGAAGTAGTCGGTTAGTCATGAACTTCCTGGTCCGGATAGTTACTGTGTCGTTCATGATGGCGGCAAGCCTTCTGGTTTGGCTTTTTAAATAAGCTTAAAAGCCCCAATGTGGGGCTTGAACTCACGACCCTGAGATCAAGAGTCAGCATGCTCCATTGACTGAGCCAGGCAGCTGCCCCATGACTCTTAGTTTTATAGCTTGGAAGAACTCTTGCATGTATGTCCTGGGAAATGTGTCCAAGAATGTTCTTAGCAGCATTGTTCATGATAGGCATACTGAAAACAACTCAAACATCTACCAACAGTAGGATAAAAACATAAATTGTGATGTATTCATGTGATTGAGTACTATGCAACAATAAAAAGACAGTTATGTGCAACCACTTGGATATGTCTCACAAACAGGAAGTTGAACAAAAGAAGACACAAAAGAATAATACAGTATCATTTCATTTACATAAACCTCAAAAACAGGCAAGACTAAGCAATATTGTTTAGGGATGCATGCATAGGTGCTAAAAGTATAAAGAAAAACAAGGAAGGGGCACCTGGGTGGCTCAGTTGATTAGGTGTCTGACTTCAGCTGGGGTCATGGTCTCAGGGTCCTGGGATCAAGCCCCATGCCCCCATGCTGGGCTCCCTGCTCAGTGGAGAGTCTGCTTGTCCCTCTGCCCTTCCCCTGCTCATGCTCATGCTCTCTCTCTCTCAAATAAATAAATAAGATCTTTAAAAAATCCAAGGAAATAATTATCACAAAAGTCAGGATGGTGGTTACTTCTTAGGGGAGGGAAGGAATTATGGGAAGAACACTTGGGAGCTTCTGGAGCACAGGAAATACTATTTCTTGACTTGGACGGCAGTTAAGTAGGTACTCTGTTTGTTCCAGTTTATTTGTACCCCTTTCTTTTTTTTTTTTAAAGATTATTTATTTATTTATTTGAGAGAGAGAGAATGAGAGATAGAGAGCACGAGAGGGAAGAGGGTCAGAGAGAGAAGCAGACTCCCTGCTGAGCAGGGAGCCCGATGTGGGACTCGGTCCTGGGACTCCAGGATCATGACCTGAGCCGAAGGCAGTCGCTTAACCAACTGAGCCACCCAGGAGCCCCATTTGTACCCCTTTCATAATGTATTTATATATTCTGTCCAGAAAGAGAAAATAAGGTATCGCTTTTTTTCCTCTGGTCCATGCCACCTTGTTCAGATAGTGATGCTGACGTTAGATATTTCCTAGTCCATATACCTATCTTTCCCACCAGATCTCAAGGACAGTGGCCTTCCTTGTTTTTTTGGCACCTATCAATGCCTGGCATGAGGCAGGTAATAAATGTTTGCTGAATTGGATTGCATTGAATTTCCCAAGTCTCTAATCCCATGGAGAGAGGGGCAGTTGCAGAAGAGGAGGAAGCCTTCAGTGGTGAAGAGTGCTCAGGATCACCAAGACCTGGGTTCCCACCTTAGCTTTGCCACTTCCTAGCTGTGTTATTTGGCCAAGTTGCTTAACTTCTCTGATTCTCAGCTCCCTCTTCTGTGAAATGGGGATGATAACTGCTACCTCTCTGGACTGCTGCGTGGATTAAGGTGAATGCCTAGCACAATGCCTGGAACACAGTAGGGGCTCAACAAAGGATAGCTTCCCAACCCCCCTGGCCCCAGCCCCACATCTTTTCTTCAAAGGAATCTGCTAGATGGAGCAGCCAGATATCAAAGATGGCCCCAGAGAGTGGGACAACATCTTTGGGGGAAGCCCCTGAAGCTAAGGTGGATCTGTAGTCTGGTAGAGAGCTGGCAGACAGGGAGATCCAACTGAAGCTGAACCAATCCCAGGCAGTCGGTGGGAGTTGGCAGGGGAGATAGGACACCAGGGTTCTGGGAGTTTCCATCTCGGGGAAGTCCCAGAGGTGTGGGTGCGGGGGTGCCAGGCCGGCCCCACCCAACACCCTGGCTCCAGGGGATGTGGGCACAAGGAGGAAAGTGGGTCAGAGCAGGGCTGGAATTTAACCCCATTGGTCCCATGACCTCTTTGTCAGCTCCAGAGGCCGCAGGGCCACAAAGAAGCCTGCTCCCTCCTCCAAAGGGCCTTCCATTCCTTTTCCTTAGAAAGGGAGAATCTTGGCACCTTGGTGTCTAGGCAAGAGGAACTGGAAGCCCCCCAGTGGACAGAGGAGAGATAACCCTCTAACCCCCGGATTGGGGTTCTGTACAAAACACTGCTACACCCGCCCACGTGATGACTGGCAGACACCTGGAGCTCTCACCTCACACATACTCCAGGCAACTAGCCCTGCTCCCAGTTCCAGGGAGTGGGCCAGGTCAGGGCTGGATCAGGGAAGGGGAAGGGCGCATGGCAGAGCAGCTTGGAGGAGAAGGCTTTTCTGTCTGGTGAGGCTCCAGCTAGGCAAACACAGGAATCCCTCACTCCGGGGGATTTGCCAACAATGTGGGGCCTTGTTTTCTGTGTATAATCTGAGACCCAAGCCTGTGGTTTCCTCTTCCCTATCTGTGCCTCTATTTCCCTTTCCGGAGGAGGAAATGAAGGAGTTGGGGGGGGGAATCACTCCAGGGCGGGGTCACCAGGTGTCCCGGGGCCCCCGCTTTGGCCTTTAGGAGGTGCTTATCATCTCTCCCTTGTAGCATATCAAAATCCACGTGGGGAACAGGAATGGAGGAACCCTCTTCTTTCTGGGGGGAGCAGGGTGGCTGGGAGCCAGGACCCTGTTCCAGGCCCGTTGCCCATATTCTTTTGTTGCCTTCCTTTCTCTCTACTCCCCTCCTCAGCTTTTCCTGGAAGCCTTTCCTGATCTCCTGGGCTGGGGGGACATCCCTCCATTATCCACTCTCATTGTACCTTATGCCTCTGCACACTAGTTATCACTTGTAATTGCGTGGATTATCCGGTAAACATCTGACTCCCCCAGCAGGTTATGAGCCCGAGACGGTATTCCCAGGGTCTAGTACAGTGCGGGGTACACAGTGGATACTTAGAGGAGATCTGTTGAATTAATGAAGGGTGCATGTTCAGGGAAGAAACCCCTAGAATTGTTTAGGGTAGTCCTCAAATCCTGTGTTCCAAAATCAAGGCCTTATTCCATGTGGGGATCTGGGTGGCACTGAGGCCAGTAAGGGGTCTTCTACACACGAATTCATTCACCAGGAAAGCCAACAAACCGGCAAGCGGGAGAAGAGGCCTGGTCAAAGGGATGGAATTGAGCAAGCACCCGGGGCAGGGCTGGCACCAGCCTTGGCACGGGGCAGGTCTAGGGGGAGGAGGTGGGAACGGAGGGGAGAAAGGGAAAAGAGAAGACACGTGTTGTACAAAACATGTTTTCATCACACTCTCCCTGGGTGCCCTGGCCTCCAAGCTCCGATGGCACTTCCGTGCCTTAATGATGTCCTTGGGGGTTGTAACACAGCTCCCCCACCTCCCACAGACATCTGCCAGCCACCTCTGAGCAAGGCATAGGATGTCCTCCCCAGCTCCAGAGTGGGCACGGGGTAATTACCCAGTCCATGTCCTCATGTTCCTGGGGAGAGGGCAGGGTGACAATGAGGGGTGGGGCAAAGAAGCAGTCAGGGCAGGTGGGTCAGACGTTCTGTCAACACGATCTCTCCTTTTGGTCTTTGTGATGAGGGAAGCAAAGGAAGCCTGGTCCTACAGCCCCCAGGAAATCATTTCTCCAAGTTGCCAGGGTGACCCGGTGGAACAAGCACAGAGTAAAGGCTAGAACTAAAGATGACAGAAGAGTTCTCCAACCGGCTTCCAGACTGGAGGCCCTCTTCCCAAGTCTCCTGGAATCCCTGCACGGAACACGAGTTCCATTGCAAGAGGGAGAGAAGAAGAATCCGAACCCCTCACAATGCTCCACTTCCCTGATCCCCAGTCTGCGGGCTTTTTGTTTTGACTTCCAAACAGACCCCCGTCATTGGGTCCCAGGGAGGGGCGGGGGCGGAGGCGCGGCAATCCCGAGGGGAGGGTCCGGCACAGGGCGGGTCTTCCTGGGCATCGCCCCCTGGCTGCTGTCCTTGGCTGGGGACGGAGCAGGCCACCAGAAGGGAGGAGCCACAGTTACCAAAGAAGGATGGATGGACAAACACCCACCAGAGACAAAGACAGAGGCAGACAGACAGACAAACCAAAACAAAGAGAAGGGCAGAGACAGATGGAATTTTAGACCTGCTGACTCTTCCCAGGCTACCACAAGTGTTTGGTCCCCATGCCCACCC